GAAACTAGTGCTACCTTAGCAACACTCCTGCCCTTTGTATCTTCAGCAGGTAGCAAAACGATGTGTTTCACATCTTTCCTTAGAGATTTAGTGTTCTTGAAACCGTTGTATTGAGTCTTACGATCGAACTGTCAATGTCTTCCCAATAGAATGTGACAGTCATCCAGGGGAACCCTGACGCACCATACTTGTTCCTGTAGCTGGTCTACGATGGAGAAATCAACAAAGCACTGTTGATCCACACGTATCTTATTTCTCTTTTTCAGCCAGGTAGGGTAATATGATTGAAGATGCTTCTGTATGTCCAAACCCAATTTTTTATCATGATCGTGGACACCACTTTCTAGCAGCTTCCACTATCAGTGATCAGGCTACAGAATTTCCCCTTAATGGTGCGTTTGCTGCGAAAAATGTTATACCTTAACCAGGATTGGTCACATTCTGGCTCGAACTATAGTACTCGCCAAACACTAATACTTCTTTGTTTCCATGGAGTTGAAGCTCTTCTTTCGGACTCTCCTCTGACTCCTCATCGACTTTCTCAACGGCACCTTGATCTGTGAGTGTGACGCCTCGGCTTATTGGGTAGCTGGAGGCTATGTGTCCGTAGTTGTGGCCCTAAAACACTTCCTGGCCGGCACAGTATAGGAGGAACCAACTTTCTCTAGCTTCATCCCACTATGATTTGCCTTATCAATTCCCTGTCTGATTCTATTATTTCCTCCTGAGGTAGCCTTGTCAGTTGTAGAAGTTGCGGGTGACTGCTTGACTGAAGATGGTAGTTGTTGTACAACATTGCTAATGGTTGTAGTTGTACCACATTGCTAATGTCTGAAAGTCCCCCAACGTCTAGTATGGTTGTAGTTGTACCACATTGCTAATGACGAGTTTTAGATTTTTATACACAAAAAATATATGCATTTTTAGACTCATATTTTATACTCATTTTTGGTGATATTGCACTTTAATGGAAGGTATTTTTAATGTTTTCTTGCGGATTGTTGAATTTTAGGATTTGGAGCAAAAAAGACACAAAAATGATGAAATTTAGAGTCAAAATGGAGAAATTGAAATTTTGTTCAGCGTTGACGGCGCCGTTTGATAGAGAACATTGAATTAAATTACGGTTAGCGCCAGTGTCGGTTCAGACCCTGTTTCTAGAAGATTCGACGAATTTGGACGTTTTTTGAAGAGTTTTTGGATGCACCTATTGGAGAACCTACTCTAGGCACATTTCGCGGCCAAAATTGATCAGAAAATTGGCTCCTTTTTGTCATTCCTCACCACCATTCATTCTCTTACATACCATACATTTTATTATCTTCATTACACCACCATTTTGGAGTCTATTGGTGATTTTTCTTTAAGAATTTAGAGTTTTTGTGATGAGATTAAGTGTGAATCTTTCTCTAAGAGTGTTGGAGAAGGAGAAGTGAGAGATTTCTTCTTCCTATATTTCTTAGGAAAGACTATAAATGATTTGCTTTGAAAAAGAGTTTCATATAAGTGTTGATTTTTTTTATATAGTGTTGTATGAACTTATTTTTATATATGAAATTTGTGTTTTGTTGTATGTTTTTCATGAAGTCTGAGTAGTTTCCTTTATCTTTCTTCTCATTCTGAGATATGGTAAAATGAAAAGATAATACAGATGTGACAATGTAAAAATATAAAATAAATTGTGATAATTTTTCAAGTCCAAACTTAATTTACTTTTCTATCTGACCAATTGAATTGTTAAAATTTGTTGTGAAACATATAATCCGGGAAATGGAGTATAAGTTCTACAACAGAGTGAAAGTTCTACAACAGAGTCATTTGATTCCATGAAAGATAATTTTGTTTATGGAATTAAGTGCAAATAAATAGAGAAATATATATTGTTAAGTTTATGATTGGAGATTTTAGGGTGACAGACTAAAATCCCCAATTATGTCTTAGTGTTTAAGAACTAAAGCGAGAGTTAGCCTTCAGGTGAAGAGAAGTGGGAACTCAGGAGTGGGATCCAGTATCCTGCTAGCCTAACCACGAATTTAGGGATTAAACTTGGGATTAGCCAATGATTTTCTATAATACTGTATCAGGGTAGAAAATTAAAACAACTCTTATTTAACATAATACATATTAAAACCATTTATCACATCTCATTTTACCAAAATCTCATTGTAGTAAGAAAAACATTTTTTCACATAAGAAATTTTCATCACATAAGCATAGTTTAATAGTTTAGTAGTTACTGTTTAAACTCTGCATTTCAGTTTTGCTAGTAGTTAAATAATTTAGTTCTGATAACATCTTAACATTCGAAATTAGTAACAATAATTTCGTTTTACTTTCTGTGAATTCAATGATATTATAACTCGTTCGAAAGTCAGGACTCAGGCACATGACAGGAAATTAAAAGACTTGTGATATCCTTAGTCGATTACTCGTATTTCAACCACACTATCTTATTCTGAAATTTACTTAGGACCCAGTCCGAAGTCTTTAAAGTGAAAGTCCCAATTATTAGGGTATTAATTTAATTTTCCCATTAAATCATAGTTTCTATCACAATGTTGGAATTTTTTTTATCTTGGATTACTCCTTTCTCGATTGTCCTCTTAACGAACTTTGAATATTTTGTTAACTGTGCTTTCCACACATTGAACTGTTCTGAAAAACATGTTCTTTCTTTTATTGCGGTGGGAGGGAAAGGACAGACAAACATTGATATCACTAATATCTCTTTCGACAACAAAAGTAGTACAATAGTGATTAAGATGTCTTCGATGGCTCTAGCTATACGGACAACAAAAGTAGTCCTGAATTTCTTCGTAGATGTCTTCGATGGCTCTAGCTTCCCAGTTTTCTCAAAAACCCTCAGTTGCTTAGCTTCTTCTTGAAGATTCCCAACTTTACTAAGCAACTTCTCGAATGTCTTGATGGTGAATCCCTTGAGTAAGAAACCCACTGGACCATGGATGCTCTTTAGAAGGATTTCGATTGCGTGTTGCTCCTGGAGTTGCGGCTCACACTTCATGCTCAAATTTCTCTATCGCAGAATGTATTCCATCAATGTTTCAGCCGGCTTCTGTCGCTCCACCACGAGATCACCGACGGTGATATGGTGTTTAACTCCAGCAAACCGCTTAAAAAAGAGGTCTTCCAATTCTGTAAATGTTTTCACTGAGCTATTGGGTAGTTCGACGTACCAGTTAGAAGCGATTCCCGAAAGACTGCTTACAAATTGACGACACAACAAAGCATCACTACCCCCCGCGTTGCAACATTTTGCTCGGAAGTGTGCAACATGCTGTCGGGGGTTTTCCGTTCCATCAAATATCTTGAACGACGGAGGTACGAAACCCTTGGGATATTGGACATCATCAAATTCTTCGGGATAAGGTCTACCCTTTAGAATCAACGCCCCTACTTTGATTTAGTCAGGGTTTCTCTCACCTCTTGTTTCACCATTTGTTTAATGTTCTTTTCCTGTATCATGCTCTGGAGTCTTTCGTCTGTAATATGAACAATTTCTGGCTGACTTGCTTTCGGAGCTATCATTCGTGGTGATTGTGACTGTCCTTGAATGGGGGTCATCGCGGTCATCATTTCTTCTAGTTGTTTCTTCATCTAGTTGATATGTTCATCACGTTGTTGAATGACTCTTTCCAACTCATCTGCGACGTTCTCCTCAGTGGGCAAAAGAGCATCGCGCGAGGGTAAGGTGGCTCTGGCCTCAATAACGTTGATTTCTGTGAATTCCTCTTTCACATAATAGGGTTCATCACTCGTATCTTTTCTTTGTTCTTCAGACAACCGTGCAATGTCCAGGCAACCGTGTAATATCGGCTCGAAGCCTTTCCAACTTAGCCTCGATCGACCTTCCTTTGATAACTTTAAGGTCAGTTGAAGGTTTTTTATGAGCCTCACCTCTTTTGTTGAGCATTGGTGTAGTCATAAAGGAGTAAATTGGAACAACTAGATCAACCAAAATCATATTGATGGAACATCTTTCAGGTTTTGTCAAATACTCTTTCGGGATCGTTATCTTCTCGTTTTTGAAATTCTTCTCGAGTCTTTGTTTGAAGCTGATACAGCTCTCTATAGTATGTCCGAACAGTCTATGGTAGGGACAGTAGTTGGGATGGTCTTTCTTGTCGACTTCCTCCGGCCTCTTTGTCTCTCGTAATCTCTCGTAATCTTCGTAATCAGAATTTGGGATTTTTAATCAAATCCTGGAACATCTTTGCAACATCTTTTTTGAAAAAATATACTTTGTTCAATTGCTTAGCCACAAATGGACCCTGTATTTCATCCATCTGCCATGGCCTATGCTGGGATGACTGTTGACCAAGCTGTTGGTTGTATTATTAGCTATGTTGTAGATCATATTGCTGCAAATATTGCTCGTTGTACAGTTGCAGATACTGGTAGATCTGTTGAGGTTGCTCGACCTGAATCTGTACTGACTGTTTGTCTTTATCTACCGTTGTTACTCTCTCAGATTTTTCTTTGAATGCCATCACTGGCTTTGGACTATTATGGAGAGATGACGACGGTACTGTGGGAGCAGCCTCATACATACACTCCATCCTCTCCGTAGTTAGCAGGCAACTGCTGAAACTTACTCCCCATGAGTGGAGGTAAAGTCTCACGTAATCCTGTCTCATCCAGTCGGAGGTCGGTGTCAGTAGTAGCCAACTCTACGGTTTTTGCCTTTTCGACCCTTAGAATTTCCTGATTGTGCTTAATTTCTTGTGTCTTGGTCAATCGCACGGACTTTGAGTTGAACCCAATCTCGAATACGGAAAACGGTCGGGCAAAAGCATCGACTGACACTTCTTCGTATAGAATCTCTTTCTCTTTGTTTAACGGAGCAGTTGGTGCAGTAGCAGTGAATCCGGTAGCAGAAGCAGAAACAGTCCTGGGAGCGGTCCCTATACTCCTAGCGGCAGACTTTATAGCAAGAGCAGGGTTCTTTTCAATCAATAATCTTTTCAAATCTTAACAAACTTCAGCTTGAACTCCACAACAGGCTCGGTGGACCTGTCCGTTTCAGACTTCATCATTGTGGCAGCGACATTCCCAAACTTGACTTCAATATCGGAATCCTTGTCCAAACTTAATGACTGTCAAGTCAGGTAGCTCGCTCTTGCTAATAGCAAACTCTATTCCGATGGCGAAAGAAAAGATCAACTTTGGTGAAGACATTGTCCCTGTCGTTTGAAAAAAAAATTCCAGAAGTCAATAACGTCCAATGCCTTGTAATTTCAACGAAAGTACTCAAGTTAACGCACTTGTCTTATGAACTGGGTATCATTTGAAATTTATTCATGTGAATCTTGTCTCAAATTTTGTGATTTGTTTCACTTTGAAAATTTTAATGGAATGATGGAATGATGAAATTTCATTTCATTTGGAGTTTAAATGGAAGATTGTGAGAGTTAAATTTTAGTGTTAACTCGTTCACAACAAGTCAAGATCGAAGAGGAATAAAGCATAAGACCCGATACGAGATTTGGAAGGGTCGGTTTCGCATCGAACTCGCTTCAATAGACAACTCCTAATCTACCACACCTATTGGAGGTCCATCACACTAAACCCTAGGGATTCCTGAACCCCTCTGCTTAAGGATGGTTAAGAAGATGGTCCTGGAATCCAATAAGAGTTGGTCATACTGACTCAAGAAAGAAATGAGCACAGTATGTCAACGGAAGAACAACAGTCTGACCCACGATGGGCATGGACATACTGCCGATGTATGGAGACAAAACCACTTGATCAAAATGGAGAGAGGAACTAGTCCACAGCGGAGTCGCCACAAATTTATCGGTAAACTTTTCGATTTGATTATTTGAAAATATGAATATAAAATATATATAAGAAAAATAATTTTTGATATTTAATTTAATATAATAGATATATAGTTTGAGTTTTAAAAGTAGTATATTTTAATTTTTGAAAAATGAGACCAAATGAGTCTCATTAGTCCAATAGTTTGCATAACCGTGTCTGATACCGCAAATATTACACCCTCCCGAAAGATAAGTGTAGATCTCGGCGATGGACCCAATCCTGTAAACTAAAAGATTTGTGACATTTATTTGGTCTGCGAACCTTTTATGTATAACCGACAAGTTCTCATATCTAATACAAAGATTAAATAAGATTTATTTTACCCGGGTTCCAAGTTCCCTAAAGAGGCAAGTCCCCATGATTAATTACATCTTCAATAATGATCAAGGTATTAGTCTTCAAAATTCTAAAGTTTAGATTCTCACGGTTGAACGTGGAAAGGCAAATGAGAGTGGCTCAAATATGAACAGTTATTTCAGGAGTCCAAAGGAAGGAACAGATAGCGGATGTCATAGATCCTGAGGAGAAACCTCAGTAACATCCCAGACTATCCCACTATGTGGCTGTGTTTTAAAGAAGATGTTATTCAATAGTTCAATCCTGCCAATTTTATAATTTGTGACTTACATTTGCATAATACCCGATTATGCAAATAGCCAGCAGAAATAAGAGGGTTTACGTCGTGTCACATGACAACCTCAGAACCTAAAGCAGGTTAGGACTTACGCTGCACAACATGGTTATACAAAGCCTAAAAAGGGAGTCAGGATTTACGTCGCGCTAAGCGAGCTACCTCAAAGTCCTATGGGTTGTTATTATGCTAGGAAGAGATAATGCTGAAGAAAATCCTCTTGCTGCTCGGTCTGAATTCCTCGTCGTGCTCCCCACAAAGTTGGTTTCAAGCTCCTATTGTAGCGATGACTCCAGGGTTTAACTGTTTGATTGGTGATTTATGCTTCACAATTTTGGTGTCAATTTTTTGTTTTGTTATGTTTCAGTTTTGGTTTTGCATTCAAAATAAGCAAATCGCAAATAAATAAAATGTACTTGAAAGGTAAAATGCAATAAAGTAAAATGTTGTATATAAACTGTAAAAATGAACCTAGGTATCTGTTACTGTTGCGTTATTAATGTTGCGAACATAGTATGATTTGCAGCAGATTTAAATAAACTTGCAAGAAAATTAAACAAGGCGAGAAAATCGAACACGAAAGTTAGAAAAATGAGTTATAAAAATCACGAGCAAAAGAAACTCTTAGCCACATATGAAAGATCAGGACTGTGTATAAGACATTGGTAAAACTGGGGGGCTCAGAGTTGGGTTGTGTGCTTCCTTACTTTGAACAAGAGTTACTAGCCCGACAATCTACAGAAGGCAGTCCTTAATCTCGATCCGAATGACTAACCATGGACTTTTATAATTTTTTATAAAAACAATTCTTTGATTTTCATGCAAAAGTTGTTGTTTAAGACTTTTTTATGCAGAGCTTTTTTTAACATGCAAAAGAGATTTTTGTTTGATTTTTGTAAAGTCGTGTAGTTCATAGGCTAGTTGTAAAGTCGTGTAGTCCATAGGCCAGTCACTGTAATCGTGCTAGAACTACTGACAACCTAAGAATGTCGTGGACAACGATCCCACCCACCAAGAATCGGTGAATAGTATCATAGATCCTTCCTCTCTTTTATAGAAGATCTTTGAGGTAGAAGATACTATTCTAATAATCTTACTTCGTATCCCTCGTTTACATCCCTCGTTTAAGTAAGCATAAGCAATGCCGTCATCGCACTCGTCACCTAGACCCTACACTCATCATAATCCGATGATCCATATGTGGCGTTAACAAATTTTCCCAATTGTCAGAAGGATTTGAGTATGATATTCAAGCTCAAATCTCGATCCACTGGGTTTCATTGTAGGTTAAGTCATTGAGGAAATTTCACTAATGATTTAATTAAAGAAGCATGAACTACGTCTCGGTGCATCCTCGTGTTTAGTGTCTTAATCAATTTATGAATAAGGTTGAAGTGTCTAGTTTCACTGTGCATTTGAAGATTAGGTGAATGGACTCTTACCTAGGGTATGCTCCTAAAACCTTGGGAGGTTACACTGCAGAGATTAGGTAGATGGGCTCTCACCTAGGGTGTGCTCCTAAAGTCTAGGAAACTTACACTGAGGATTAG